TTGCTCAAAATTCCAACCAGGATGGAAGATTCTTCAGATCAAGGAACATGCTTGTCTCCTCAGTTTGCTGGGTTAATAGGTATAAGCAATTTAAAAATTGACTATCAAAAATGGGAGATATAAAGGCATACAGTGGCTGGTTTACAGACTTTCATGGATGTGCTTCATCTCAGAAATGAGGGGGCCAAGGGAGAATCCCCACTGAATGTTGCTGTTGTTGTTAAGTGCCATCGAGTCAGCACCAACTCATAGCAACCTTATGGTCCCTCTTTTCCAGATAGGTCTGTTGAAGAGAGTGTAGAAGATGATGCAGCAGGATTTTGTTATTTCAATTGTGAGTAGCTGTTAGTAGGATTAATTGTGATGGTCAAAACTATCATTGTAGAAGATGTGTAACTGATAGGGGTTCATAGAAATCAGCCTGAGGCTGATTTTGAGTTTGATTTTCTTTTCCCCTTGTGAAGCCAACTGAAGTCAGACATGGCCCCACAAGTTTTCTGCACATACTTAATCACGCTGTATGCTGAGCAAATAATCCAAGAAACTGTATTATATGAAGAACATGGCATCAGCATTGGAGGAAGACTCGTAAGGAACCTACAATATGCAGATGATACACCCTTGCTTGCTGAAAGTAGAGGACTTACTGATGAAGATCAAAGACCACAGCCTTCAGTAGGGATTGCATCTCATTGTAAAGACAACAAAAATCCTTAAAATTGGACCAGTAAATAACATGATAAATGTAGAAAAGATTTAAGTTGCCAAAGTCTTCATTTTGCTTGGATCTACAATCAACACTCATGGAAACAGTAGTCAAGAAATCAAACGACATATTGTGTTAGGCAAATCTGCTGCAAGAGCAAAGAGGAGTTTGAGGGTTAAGACGCTTCTGACCCAAGCCATGGTTATTTTCAATAGCCTCATATGCATGTGAAAATTGGACAATGAATACAGAAGACCATAGATGAACTGATGCATTTGAGTTATGGTGTTGGAAAAGAATATTAAATTACCATGGACTGCCAGAAGAACAAACATATCTGTGTTGGAAAAAGTGCAACCAGAATGATTCTTATAAGCCAGGATGATACGACTTCATCTCTCAACCTTCTGACATATTATCAGGAGGGACCAGTCCCTGGAGAAGGACATCATTATTGGGGTCAGTGAAAATGAGGAAGACCCCCAATGAAATGAATGGCACAGTGACAACAGCCCTGGGTTCAAGTGTAACAACAATTGTGAAGATGGCACAGGACAAGCAGTGTTTCATTCTGTTGTGCATAGGATCACTATGAATCGAGCCAATTTGACGGCACCTAACTACATCGAACCTTAAGGTCAGCGGTTCGAAACTACCAGCTGCTCCGCGGGAGAAAGATGAGGCTTTCTACTCCCGTAAGGATTTACACCCTTGGAAACCCTGTACAGGGTCGCTGTGGGTCGGAACCGACTCGACGGCACTTAACAACAACAACAACAACTACATCAACATAGTCAGTTGATCTTAATCAAAGTGCCATGATACATTATATATGGAAGTAAATAGTGCTAGCAGAACTGAAAATCCATTTGCAGAAAAATGAAACAAGACCCATATCTTATAGCATATATAAAAATGAACTCAATGTAGATTAAAAACCTATATATAAAGCCTAGAACTATAAAGATCATCAATGAAAACATAGGGACAAACTTAGGGGCTCTGATACACAATCAAACATAACTGAAAACATACAAACAGAAGACAAAATAGATGACTGGGACTTCCTAAAAATTAGACACTTATGTGCAACAAAGGATTTTAACAAAAGAGTTAAAAAAAGAACCCACAGACTATGAATGTTTGGTAATGACGTATCAGACAAAGGACTACTCTCTAAAATTTAAAAAACACTTCAACATCTCAATAAAAAGACAAGTAATCCAGTTTTAAAACAGGCAGAAGACATGAACAGACACATCACCACAGAAGACATTCAGACCACCAACAAACATATTAAGAAATGTTCATAATCATTAGCCATTAGAGAGATGTGTATCAACACAGCAATGAGATATCCTACTCTAGCATTAACAGCAAAGTTCAAGAAACAGAAAACAACAAATGCTGCCAGGAGTGTGGAGAGAATGGGGCCCTCCTACACTGCTGGTGGGACTGTAGAATGGTGCAACCATTGTGGAAAACTGTACAGCACTTTCTCAAAAAGTTGGAACTAGAAATACAGTATAACCCAGCTATCCCTCTACTTGGTATATATCCTCCAGGAACAAGAGCCAGGAATAAGAGCCATGACACATATGGATATATGCACACCCATGTTCACTGCAGCACTAGTTACAGTATCAAAAATGGGCCTAAATGCCCATTAAAAGAGAAATGATTAAACAAACTTTGGTACATACACACAATGTTGAAGAATGTTGTTGTTGTTAAGTGCCGTCGAGTAGGTTCCGACCCATAGCAACCCTGTATAGGGTTTCTGAGGAGCGACTGGTGAGCTTGAACCGCCAACCTTGCAGTTCAAACGGCTTTGTAGTCTGGCGCATTAACCCACAACGCCACACCAGGACTCCATGTTGAAGAATAACCAACCATAAATCTGCAGAACACCTCACAACATGGATGAACCTGGAGAACATTATGCTGAGTGATTCTGCTGTTGCTAAGTGCCGTGGAATCAGTCTGACCCATAGCAACCCTGTATAGGATTTCCAAGGAGTGGCTGGTGAGCTTGAACCACCACTACCACCTTGAGGTTCAAACCAAGTTTGCAGTCCAGTGCATTAACCCACAGCATCATACCAGACAACATGGATGAACCTGGAGAACAACATTATGCGAGTGATATTGATGGTTATGTGCCATGGAGTCGGTTCCGACTCATAGTGACCGTGTACAGGGTTTCCGAGGCTGTAAATCTTTACAGGAGCAGAAAGCCTTGTCTTCCTCCCGCGGAACAGCTGGTAGTTTCAAACTGCTGACCCTGAGGTTAGCAGCCCGATTCGTAGCCACTACACTCAACCAAACAAAGACAAATATTGTATGAGACCACTGTTGTAAAATGTTAAGGTCTTCTTGATAAAAGAAATATTCTATAATGTGTACTGGAGGGATTATTCTCAGGCTAGAGGCCAGACACATGGGTGACAGGGCAGGCAATATACAACACGAAGGAGGTTAGCAGAGGAAAGATGAAGGCAGTGAGTGGGAAACAGGCAGGAATGCAAGACTTAAAGTGAATAAAGGTAAATATTGTTAACTGATGGCACATGGAGGGGATTGCAATCATTGTAATGAAGCAAAGTATATGATTTGTTAAATGTAAAACTGATGGTCTGCTCTGTAAACTTTTACCCAATACACAATTAAAAACCTTAAATAAAATTAATTAATTAATTAAAAACAAAAACCTGACTATCTGCTCTGCAAACCTTCACTCAATTCACAATAAAAAGTTATATTTAAAAAAAGCTATAGGTAAATCAGAATAGGTGCATATGGTTCTTTTTTAGCCCTACTTTCGTTCAAGTAAAGGCTTGAAGTCTTTTCAATTATTTAAAAGATGATGTACATTTAGCAAGTGACTGCGACTGGGATGAAGAATTTACATCCCTTTAAATCAGGGCTTTAAAGATGGTGGTGCCCCACTTAAAGATGGTTGCCAACAGAGGCACACTTTAAATGTGTATGGCTCTCCAAAGTACTGCCAATAATCCAATATCATGCATTAAGTGCCCCAAAAAGATACTGTCCCTCTCTTTCTAGGATTTTGACAATTTTTCCTGTTAGTGCCCAATCACCCAAATTGTAAAAATTCCAGTCGTTCCTATTTCCCTTCCTCAACCATGGCTGAACCGGTCCTAATTAAAGGACAAGGGGTCCTGGTGTGGCCCTGCATGATAGAGTCAGTGGTTCAAACGCACCATGTTCCTCTGTTCCACGGAAACCCTATACAAAGAAACTAGGAGTTGAAAACAACTCCATAGCACTTAACAATCAGCTGTTGTCCATAAATCGACATAGGATTTCTGAGGCTGTAAATCTTTACCAGAGCAGAAAGCCTCATCTTTCTCCCAAGGAACAGCTGGTACCGCGGAACAGCTGGTAGTTTCGAACTGCTGACCTTAAGATTAGCAGCCATACTGTAACCAATACGCAACCAGAGCTCCTGTGGATAGACCTTTATTGTACTTTAGGGAGAGGTCTACAATTCATTATTAAAGGTCAGAGGGTTGAAATGAACTAGAGTTTGAGATTAAATTTTTGAAATGTTGAGGGAAAAGCTGGAACTTTAAATCTTTTGGACCAGATCTGAGCTAGCTGCGAACAACAGTGGCCAGGGGATTTAAAAAAAAAATTAGCATTTGTAAGAAATGTCTCCAAAAACATATCACTCAATGTGTCTATTATAAAGCAGGTACCATCATAAAAACCGGCTATTCTTCCCAGAGCTTTCTTCCGATATTTCCCAGCGCTCGAACAAAACTGCTAATCAGTGTCAAAACAGTCCTGTCAACCATACAGAAGCAGGCGATGGGCAAAGAGTTCGGAGAGCAACACCTAAAAAGGGCTGGGTCTTGAGAAAAGGCTAAACTCGGATTTGAGTTTGAAGCGAATTTTACCACCCGCTGTCCCAAGTCAGCGCACTTAAGAAATCACACCCTGATAACACTAGTCAAGGTTGCAACTTGCAAAAGCTTTTCTTCTCGCGGACCTAGAGGGTGGAACTGAATTGAGGAAGGAAGACGACACAAAAAGATGCAAAGCTAGCCAACAGGTGCGTGAGTTCTTCAGCAAAGAGCTTACGGGCCACAGTGGGGACGGCGCGCTGCTCAAACCGGACCGTGGAGCCAGCCAGGACAGGCCGCGGAAAGCGCCGGGGTCCCGAGCCCCGGTGGGGTTGCAAATCAGGGGCGCCGAGGGGCGAGCGCCCCGCGAGCCCGCAGAGGGTGCCCGTGTCGCGGCAGGGGGGCAACGAAGACCAGCTGCTCACCTGGTTGAGTTCATTCTCAGCAGCAATTCGCAGCTTCGGGTCGATAGTACCTTTCAGCGCTTGGATGATCCGGTTGAGGTCCATGTCCCTGGGTGGGGGCTCCGCAACCCCTGGATTAGTAAACCAGACTACAGCTTTAATTTCCCTTTGACTCTCTCAGCCTCCTCCTCCCAAATTCCTGGACTACCTCACTCCCCACTCCCCGCCACCGTCGCCACCTGCAGCCACTTGCTGCGCCACTCTGACTCTACGGCCCCTGTCCGCCCTCTTTCCCCCCCACAACTCGCTCTCCATTCACCCTTTTACGACAGCCGATGGGAGGCGGGAGAAGTAAGAAGAGGAAGCGACGCTTCCTTTACGGCGGCCTCTTCCCCCAGGCGTAATGGCGGTGACGGACTCCCTCAGGCGGCCGCCATGCTTCTGTACGGAAGTTGTCTAGGTTTCTTCCCCGGGGGTGAAACTGCGCTGACTAGCTCCAGTAGGTGGCCACCATGCTGCCATACGGAAAACAGCCTCTCGCCTCTTCCCAGGTGCGGACAAGCGCTGGGTCTGTATCCCTTTACAGCTCCTGCCTAATTAAGTGTTGTTGTTGTTGTTGTTGTTAAGTGCCATCGAGTCGGGT